TATCCAGCTTCAGGTAACAGAAACAGGGCTGGAGTCCTCAGAGCAGATGGGTCAAGACACTGGTGACCTGAATGCTAAAACCAAGAAGGAGGGACAGACTCCCGTATGAATATATATGCCACCCAGCATGCCCCATCAACATGCCTCATCCAGGACTATAAGGAGTATGCCCAGTGTCGGCCTCCTGCCATGCACTATGAGAATGCCCCTTTCTACTTGTCCATCAAGCCAGTTGTGAACTTGGCAGCTCTGCATTGGTACAACTGCCATGCCCTCACCAAGAACAAGCTGGCCAAGATGGTGAAGACCATGTGTGAGAAGGGCAACATCCCTGGCAGGAAAGCCAACTTCAGTGTGTATCAGAGCTGCAGCACCTTGTCTGAGACCCAGAGCAACCAGCTGGTGCTGATCTGTAGCAATCTGAGTTAGCACACTGCCCAGTCAGTGGCTGGACACTGCAACAGTGGTAATTTCACCGTCTGTGCCTCCTACGACTCTTCCTCAGATGCTGCTTGACCAGGTGGCTTGACCAACACCCCAGTGTGGTTGCTGTGTCCAGAGAAACTGTGTTTATTCACTGCTTCTCATTCTCTTTCCTCTGCTTTCAGCATTAACTTTATAAAAACATAAATATATATCTTTCTTTTTATATATAAGCCAATGGAGATAGCATTTATAGGCTTAAGACGAATGGACTTGTAAATGATCAAATGTAATTATTGTTATAGACTTTAAAAAACTATAGTGGTTCTCAGGCAACACAAAGTAGAAAGGAATTCCATTTCTGAAAAAACTCGAGATGGAAACAGAGTCATCCTAGATGCTTTGTCCTCAACTCCTGCTTTGCCCCCTACCCCACCACTCACTTTTAGTGTACTTAATAAATGGCTTCATTTTCTTACCTTTTGAAAATCTCTATGAATCGGGGGGAGATAGCACTAACTTCACTGCTACACAAAATTGTATTCAGTCAGATCCAGAATATGATTTTTGATATAAGCTTAACTTCAAATTATTTATATACTCTCTCTTTTTGTCTTCTTGATTAGAATTTTAGCTCCCATGCATTTTTGCAATGTATGAAAATCTAGATGTTTAGCTAACATTTTTTTTTCCTTTGGGGGAAAAGGGTGTAGAAGGAGGGAATAAAGCTGTCATTCTTTTTGGAAGATATACAATTTTTAAATAATCTACAAAGTCTAATATTGTGTGTGGGGGGGTGGAGGGGAAGACTGTTATATAGCTTAATTTTACTGTTGTGCTTGAACTTGGATAAAATTTATTTGTTCTCTAAGAAATTAGTGTAAATGAAATTTGATTATCAGATTTACAAGAAATTTAAAACTATCACTTTGAAAAAGTTCCCAAGCATTAGATTGTATATCAAGCATAAAGAGAAGGTAGAGAATGCAAAAGTCTTACTAAAGATCTAGAAGCACTAGTTAAGAAAACAGAAAAAGTATCCTCTTCAAAGCTCAAATCCCCCTTGAATTATTTATTTATAAGGATTAAACTTCAGTATCTTTTCCCTTCATTGATTACTTGACTCTGTGGTTGAGATCCAAGAAATATTTACACTCATTTCAGGTGCGGCATTTTGCTACCAGATTTAGATGAATTCAAAGAATTCTTGAAAATGTACAAAGTTTATTCTACAGTAAATATAAATGCATTTATCTGCAATATCCTAAAATTATCATCATAATAATTTTGATTAAACAAAACAATTTTTTGAAGGCTACATTTTCTTTATTAAATTACTTTTGCATATTTGTCAAAAATCACTTGGGCATATTTGTGGGGGTATATTTTTAGGTTCTCTATTCTGTTCCACTGATCTGTGTGCCTAACCTCTGCTGATACCACAGTCTCAATTACTGTAGCTAAATAAATCTTGAGACTGCAAAAACTAATATTCCCTTATTTTATTGTGTTTTCAATTGTTTTAGCTACTGTAGTTCTTTTGATGTTCCAAATAAATTTTAGAATAAACTTGTCTATACAACATAAAATCTTGCTGGGATTATTATAGGAATCACATTACATTGGTTTGTCAGTTGAGGAGAGTTGATATCTTCCCATCCACGAACACTGTATGTCTCTCCATTTATGGATTTTTAAAAATTCCTTTCATCAGCAATGTATAGTTTTGTTATATATAATAATATACATATTATTATAATATATTGTAATATATTATTATAATATATAAGGGTAACCACCATTCTACTTTCTGCTCTTATGAGTTTGATTATGTTAAGTACTTCCTATAAATAGAATCATATAGCATTTGTCCTTCTGTGACTGTCTTATTTCACTGTTAGCATAATATCTTCAAGGTCTATCCATGGTATAGAATATGAAAGAATTTCCTTACTTTTATAGCTGAATAATATTCCACTGTATGTACATACACATTTCTTTACCCATTCATCCATCCATGGACATTTAGGTTGTTTCCACATCTTGGATATTGAATATAAGGCTGCAGTGAACATGGGAATACATATATCTCATTGAGAACCTGCTTTCAATTCTTTGGGTAAATACTCAGAAGTGAGATTATTGGATCATATGGTAGTTCTATTTTTAACTTTTTGAGGAAACATCATACCGGTTTCCATAGTGGTTGCAAAATTTTACATTTCCACTGACAGTGCACTGGGCTCCAATTTCTCCACATTCTTGCCAACAGCTATTTGTTTGTTTGATTTTATAATTAACATCCTACAGGATGTGAGGTGATATATCATTGTGATTTTAATTTTTCATTTCTCTGATGATTAATGATGTTGAACATCTTTTAGTATATCTATTGGCAATTTGTATGTCTTCCTGTTAAATAGGAGTGAAGAAAATCATAAAAAAAATTTCTAAAGCGAAACAAATGAAAATGTTTCAAGATAAAAGAATACAAAATTGCATTTGATATTCTTGAGAGGTAGGGTTGGATGAGCCCAGAAAGGGGCCTATTTAATTTGTTAGCATGGAAGGCACTGGTGACATTGACAAAAGCAATTTTAGGTGATGGACGGGAGCATAGAAAGACAAACTAGGGGAAGAGTGATTGCAAGTAAAGGAAGTAAAGGGAGGGAATTTTGACAGCTTGTTGTTGGAGGAGATCATAGAGACAACATGACTTCTGGTTGACCCTTGATCTGGACCCCAGCAACTGGAGGCTCCTCACTTGTTCCCCTGCCCTTGGAATGTAAGTTCAGTCCACTGTTCCCACAGCTGGAGCTATTTTTAACAACACGTCCTTGAGACAGCAGTGTTTTGCTGAAACCATCTGGATCATATGTGTGACCGAACATATCTAAGGCCTCTATGTAAAGTTTTAAGATTTTTTTTTTAAAGATCTTTATTGGGAAACTGGGGGGATGGGAACAGTGCTGGGGAATTGGGGGAAGGGGAACAGACAAGTTGCTGTCCTTTTGTTCTTCAGTCTAGTTGTGGAGGACGTTGCTTCACTGGCCCAAGTTGGCACCATCATTGTGCTCTTCCCGGGCGAGGCAGATCAGTCGCCGGCTTCTGGATGGCCAATCACAGCGGCTGCTGCCCGCTCACCCTGGTTGCTGGCTACATACGGTAGCCCATGGCAACCCACTGCAGCAGGGGCTGCAGCCTATGCCGTCGCCGGCAACTCACAGCAGCCCAGCTCCAGGTTGAGCTGTTGTTCAGCATCTTAGCTGTAGAGGGCAGTGTCACTGGCCCTCATATGTGGGATCCGAACCAGGGCCCTCTGGTGTCCCAAGCCAGCTCTTAACCATCACGCCACTCAGCCGGCCCTTAAGATTCTTTTAAGATTTTGGTGGGCAGGTGCAGCCACTCAAGACATTCCTCATATGTAAGTTCTCCTGTTACTAAACATGCTATTTACCACTCTGGAATGGACTGCCTCTTTCTTTGGATGATGATTGCCCTCTGTATACAGCAGTCAGTTTAGGAACCAATCCTTACTTTAAAAGTTTTGAGTTTAAGGTGAGCAGAGAAATAGGGTAATACATGGAAGGTAATTACATATTAGAGGGTGGTGTTTTTGTATAAATTTAAAAATTTGAGATAGTAAATAAAGACTAATTAAGTAATTAAATGCAATTTGATGAGTATAATTGACTGAATTGGGGAGAGACAATGTGTCTCCTTTTATGTTGGTCACACAGAGAGATAAGAACAAAAATCCAATTGATTCCATATTCCTTATATAATTGGCTTAGATCATGAGACAATAATGTAAAAGTACTATTTCCTTTACTCTCCTGCTTGTTTATTAATATATAATAATCTTAAATATTAGAAAGAGATGTTTAATTTTGTTAGATTCATAATTGGAGATAAGATGAAACAAGTCAATTTTGATCCTCTCGCATATTGTTTTAAGCTGTTACTCACATTTTGCTGAGATCTGTCTACCTCGCCCTCCAGATTATGTGCTTTCAAAGGCTCTCTTGAAGGAAATCAGATATAAAACTAGTCTGTAGTAAAATAATATGTGTGGCCTGGTTAGGAGAGACCTATTCAGCCTAATAATAAGATTCTTTAAGATGCCCCAAGATTTAAAATTTATTATGTTGATTTTGTAGGATTCTTGCTAGCTTCTCCTTCTGGAAAAAGTCATTGAAAAAAAGTTATCTTTGGAATGACTAAAACCATAAAGCATATATTTTTCAGGGGAAAGTAACAACTGGCTTTCAGTCTGGACATTATAAGCACTGTTTGGAAAAGGATTATCTCCTTCCACTTTATTTTTAAATGAAAATGGACTAATTAAGCTCTATTCAAGGAAACGTGGGTTAATTATTAGACCAATCTTTTCACAGGAGTGAGAAACAAACAAACAAAAATGCAGAGAAAGGTTGGTGCACAAGTCAGTGGTGTTGAGATTCTCAAGACACAGATTTAGAAATGCACCATTCAACACACTCCATCCATTTCCATGGTAAAAATAGCACTTCCTGAAACATTTTATTAGCTCCTGCCTAACCGGGAGCTCTTCTTTCTTCTGGAAAATATCCCTTTCAGATGCCACGAGGTTTGGTATTCTTAGAACCTGAAAAGATCCTTATGACACAGTCTCGTATCTGCTTGGTTTTCACCCCATACACAACAGGATTCATAGTGGGAGGTAGGAGCAGATAAATATTGGCCACGATAATATGGCAAGATGGAGGGATCGTGTGGCCCCCAAAGCGGTGGGAAAAGAAGGAGAAGAAAGCTGGACTGTAGGAGAAAACAATGGCACAGATGTGCGCAATGCAGGTGCTGAAGGCCTTCTGCCGAGCCTCTGGCGAAGAGAGGCTGACCACTTCCCGGAGGATCATGGTGTAGGAGACTGTGATGCACAGGATGTCACAGCCCCCAATCAGGAGGGCAACCATCAGACCGTAGATGGCATTGACCTTGATATGTCCACAAGATAACTTGGCTACAGACATGTGGTCACAGTAGGTATGGTGTATTACATTGCCTCTGCAGTAGGGAAGGCGCTTGGTGAGGAAAGTGAAGGGGATGATGAGCAGCACCCCTCTGAGAAAGGTGAAGAACCCAGCCTTTGCAATGACGGGATTGGTGAGGATAGTTGAGTAGCGTAGAGGGTAGCATATGGCCACATAGCGGTCCAGGGCCATGAGCATGAGCACCCCAGACTCCATCCCTGTGAAGGTATGAATGAAGAACATCTGGACCAGGCATTCATCGAAGCCAATTTCCTTGAGATGAAACCAGAAGATGCAGAGAGCTTTAGGAATTGTACTAGAGCACATGACAAGGTCAGTAAGGGAAAGCATGGCCAAAAAGTAGTACATGGGCCTGTGCAGGGAGTCCTCATAGTGGATGAGGTAGAGGAGTCCACAGTTGCCTACCATAGCCACAACATACATGGAGCAGAATGGGAAGGAAATCCAGAGGTGTATGTCTTCCAGTCCTGGGATCCCATTAAGAATGAATGAGGCTGGGTTCATTTCTGTTTTATTCAGCATTAGCATGATCAAGTAGGCTTAAAATTTATGTGGGTTCTTTTCCACAGTAAGAAAAAGAGAAGAGAAAATGTAGTTTATGGTTACTATCTCTTTCTCATCCCCATGTTTTAAAATTTTGAAGTGCATTTTAATGATCAAACCACCATACTTGTATTTTCTAAGTGCCAGGGATTCGCTTTTTTATTTGTTGCTTATTTATTAATTAATGTTTATTCAATAAATTCTTATTGGGCAATCCAAGTTCTCATCACAGACAATGATTTTACTTCAATTTTGTAAAAAGAGCAATTTCTATCCTCATAGATTTATATTAAAACCTGTTATCACTTTTCTAAAAAAATTTTGTTAGGTTATCTTAACTATTGATAACTATATGCCTCTCCCTATTAATGTGACCTTAAAGAGGAATTCTTTTATCACCTCATCAGTGACCCCACAGATATGACTACTTTTTTATTCTTATTGTTAATTAATGGCTGATATTTTTTTTATTATTAAGGTGCTGTTTTAAGCATTCAGAAATATTTAAGTATTTATTCTTCTCTGGGGTTTGGAGTCTCACAATTCAGTAGAAATTTTAAATCAGCCTTCTCATTTTTAAAACACCTAATTTTTTACCTGTGCTTGGTCTACATGCATTTGTAGAAATTCTTTTAAATTTCTACTGAGAAAAAAACTTCCAGTAACAATTGGAAAGCAGCTAATGTTGCCCAGGATGATAAATCTATCAATGTAACCAATTATTTTTTCATTCTGTCTTTTTACAAGTCTCTCCATTTTATCTTGAGACATTGCCCTCTGAGATTATCAGGTGTCTGAGGCAAATACAAAAACAAACTACAAACAAAAAAAGGATCATCATATTATTGTAGCTTACTAAAGGCATTGATATAGTTCGCCTAATTATGCTAGTTTCTCCAGTAATATTTATCATTCGATAGTATGTTGATATGTCCACTTTTTATAATTTTTCTCACCTGTTTTCTCTGAACTTTTGGGTTTATATTTTTATAACTTTAACAATTGAACCTATTTTAATCAGGTTCTAGTGGGAGCCAATATAAATGCAATTTTATATCTTTATTTCTAACCACACATCAAATTTATTTCTTATCCAACCGTAAAGTTAATTAATCCCAAATTCTGTACTTACATCAAAACCTTGTTTTCAAGTTAACTAAATATTTAGAGTGAAGAAATGGCATTTCATTCTTTAATTCTCAGAAATATTTGTTAAGCACCTACAATGTGACCATGTGGGGAACCAGACATAGTAATATGCATGCAAATAACCACAGTAAATGTAACAAGAACTAAAATAGAATTAATTATGTGCAAGATCCTAAATGAACACTAGGTTATTAAAGTGATGTGCATTGTTGGTGGTGGGTTTTTGGAGGAGAGATTGGTGATTATCAAGAAGGAGTATGTTGAAAAGAAGCTGTATGATATCTATTTTGAAGGAAGACAAATTGAAAGGGAGATACATTTGTAAGAGGGAGCCCAGAGAGAAGAATCAACATGTAAAAGTATAGAAATAAAAAAAATCAAGTGTGTGAGAATTCACTGGTGTGGAAGGAGCAAGTGATAAGCTAGACATTTGGCCAGAAGTTACATCATAAAGAATCTTGTAAATAACAGATAATGGAAAATTTCTTGATAATGGAGAATAAATAATAGAGTTCACAAGAATCCTGTGTGTCATTATTTAACTCTGTGATGCTTAAAAAACTTATTAGGCAGTGAAGAAATCATATTCCTCTTTTTACTCCTCCCTCAAGGGAATACTCCCCTGAACCCCCAAGCAGTGAGAGTAAAAGAATGAACGGAAAAACCTTGAGATATTGTAGTCTCTGCTCAACAAGTAGCAAAATAAGAATTAATGGGAGATTGACGCTGATTAGAATGGCAGGTAATCATTTAACTAGCAACAAGACTCCTAAACAACAAGAAATGTATGTAAGCTTTCTATTTACTATAATAAAAGGAAATCTGTGAACAAGTTTCCCAAACAACCCAGTTGGCTTCCTTTAAACACCTTCCCAATAGTGCTATAGTTACAAGAAATAGCAAATGGTGTATCTGCTTTTCCATAGAAACGTTGTCAACGAATGTAACGGAAGTTCCACCAATTTGGTAGAAGACCTGGATTCAGAACTGATTTTTGTAATTCACTTAATCTCTTTGAGGCTTTTTTGACTTCTCAATTTCTCTAAGATCAGGTCAGTACAACAAGAGCAGTATCTCAGTGAAATATATGGATTTTAACCTCAGCTTTACAATTCCTCAAGGTATGCAGATGGACAATTTATGTAACTTCCTAAAAACAGATTAGCCATCACTTTAAATATAGATAAAAACACTATTGTGAGAAATACAGAGTCCAAAAACCAAATACTGAAACACACATTAAGCCATTTAATTTATGACAAAGGAAACACTGAAGATTGTGGAGAAAAAAGTAGTATTTTCAATAAATATTACTGAGTCAATGAATATATGTGGGAAGAAAACAAACATACCTTGTTCCCTAAATCACATCATACACAAAAACAATTTTAGAAAAATACAATAGTAGAGCTAAAAATGAAATGCAAAACACATCATCTTTGATATTTGGAGGAGGTAAATATTTGAAAACAGGATGTAAAAAATGCTACCTATGAAAAATGATAAATTGAATTGTTTAAATAAAATTTTGTATATTCTTCTCAGACTGACAGTGATTTTGGCATGCTTACAAAAATTAACTTCATAGAAAGCAATGCCACTAAATGAATTATCTTCCGTGTTCCATCAAAGGAAATATTCATTGCACCCTTCATTAATAAAATTGACTATCTTAAGATCATTATGTGATAAGGACTATAGTCATATGGAAAATCTGTATCATAAAGTGACACCAAAAGAAGACAGATCAGATTTGTTAAAAGGTAACTTGATTTGTAGACAGTAAGGAAACACAGGTTGAACATGTTAATATGCATGCTCTTCTAGGACAATATTAGAGTTATCCTGGGTGCCGTAGGAGCACCTGTGTATCTAACCTAGTCTTAGAAGAATTTTCTAAGAGGATAGGACAAGTGCCCTTAGACCTGAAGCATGATTAAGATTGTGACAGATCAAAATGGAAGGGACAGTGTCCTCTCCTGTTGATATTTCTTATCGACATCACACTGATATTCCTGGCTTTGCGATATGAGGTCTTCTGTATTTCTGATGTTCTCCTCCTAGCCCTCCTCAAATGTAGTTAATTACCACTCATTCTTCCAAAAAAAAAAAAACCTTCAGGAAGACTAAAATGTCGCTTGGATGTGATAGTAGTGACACATCTTCTAAGTCATCTTAAAATAATGTAGTTACAACCATGATTAGAGGAAAGAAATGTTTTTGTTCAAAAAATTGTCGTTCATTATGTTTACCTCATGGAACCATAAAAATCAATTCATATGTGGGAATCCCTCACAAGTCAATGAAATTATTGAGGCAAACTTTTTTTTTTTTTTTTAAGCTGAGCCACCTGTTGGCAGCTCAGCAGCTGCTCAGCTTGGGCCGGTAATTGAACCACTGTTGCTCAGAATTCAAACTCTTGAGCGAGCTCTTAACCAACTGAGTCACTCGGCCAGCCCCTGAAATTATTGATATTAAGGACAGTTTGTATTTATATTTATATCCCCAGTGTCTAACAAATCATCTGGTACATAATCAGATACTAAATAAATGTTTTTTTTAATAAATGATTCAATGGAAGGGTAAATGAATAACATTTTTATTGACCTTTAGAATTATTAAATTATAATCTAAATATTATTACTTAGAATGCATAAAAGGAACCACTACAGAAAAAAATATAAACCATCTTCCTGAAGATTATCAGAAAAGATAAATAAATAAAGCATTCTCATCACAAAGTAGGGAAATAAAGAAAACATGAAAAAGTGGAAAGAAAAAATAAGGTGAAAAGTTATTTAAAAGTGCATTCATTTTGGCAATAAGTATAAATCATTTAAACTATCTAATAATTTGAACATATTGTAATTAATTTTTTAAGTTGTATATGCAGTACAAAAGAGTATATCAGAATGAAAGCTACGCACAAAGGTTTAAAAATGTATACATACACACACAAGTGTTTTAGGCAAACACAATACCAAGGAATTGGAGAGGATATATTAATATCAGAAAAAGATAATTCAAAGCAAAATCACTTGAGTCAGGATCACCTTGGGCAAAGATTATGCTTGCTGGTGTGCAATTTAACTAACTGAATCAAATTTTTTAATTTTCAGGTTTGATAAGGTTTTTTCACAACCCAAATCATGAAACAATTGAATTCACTTCTTCACTTTATTAACAGAGGGAAAGCTTTAAAATGAGGATTCCTTAAATTTACACTTAAGGCAATATGCAGGCATATTAAACTGACTTTCAATTTTCTATTTAAGATAAGTGGTTCAATCATAATTTAAATTTTTAACTTTGGAATTTCAAGGAATGTATTAATTTCTATTTTGTATAAAAGCATAAAATATGATCTTCATAACAATAGAAATGTTTTTCCTTGAAGACCAAAATTGCCAACAAGGTCCTGTCTTTAGACTTGGTAAATTCATACTATATATATATAATCAACATTATATTTTCTAGTTTTGTTACACATATATCATTAAAATAAATATAAATTTAAAACATATATATGTGTATAACATACACATATACATGTACACAATTATAGTTTTAATAAAAGATTTATGACAATTTAGTATAAACTAGTCAATAGTGTCACTATGCTTTTCTTCCTCTGTCCCACTTTAATACATTAACTGTGATATTCAATATCTGCTTTGGTCTATAGATTGTATTGTTAAATAGTCTCCTAACAAGAAGACAATGTTAGTCTCTTAATGATATCTGCACATAAAGAACAACTATCAGGTTGAAGAAAAAGATACTATGATTGTTATCCAATATGTTTCCTTAGCTCTATTGTATTTGAACTATATATCCATATATAAGAGGGCAAAGAAATTAAGG